GGGGGGGGGGGGGGGGGGGGGGGGGGGGGGGGGGGGGGGGGGGGGGGGGGGGGGGGGGGGGGGGGGGGGGGGGGGGGGGGGGGGGGGGGGGGGGGGGGGGGGGGGGGGGGGGGGGGGGGGGGGGGGGGGGGGGGGGGGGGGGGGGGGGGGGGGGGGGGGGGGGGGGGGGGGGGGGGGGGGGGGGGGGGGGGGGGGGGGGGGGGGGGGGGGGGGGGGGGGGGGGGGGGGGGGGGGGGGGGGGGGGGGGGGGGGGGGGGGGGGGGGGGGGGGGGGGGGGGGGGGGGGGGGGGGGGGGGGGGTGAGGGGGGGGGGGGGGGGGGGGGGGGGGGGGGGGGGGGGGGGGGGGGGGGGGGGGGGGGGGGGGGGTGGGGGGGGGGGGGGGGGGGGGGGGGGGGGGGGGGGGGGGGGGGGGGGGGGGGGGGGGGGGGGGGGGGGGGGGGGGGGGGGGGGGGGGGGGGGGGGGGGGGGGGGGGGGGGGGGGGGGGGGGGGGGGGGGGGGGGGGGGGGGGGGGGGGGGGGGGGGGGGGGGGGGGGGGGGGGGGGGGGGGGGGGGGGGGGGGGGGGGGGGGGGGGGGGGGGGGGGGGGGGGGGGGGGGGGGGGGGGGGGGGGGGGGGGGGGGGGGGGGGGGGGGGGGGGGGGGGGGGGGGGGGGGGGGGGGGGGGGGGGGGGGGGGGGGGGGGGGGGGGGGGGGGGGGGGGGGGGGGGGGGGGGGGGGGGGGGGGGGGGGGGGGGGGGGGGGGGGGGGGGGGGGGGGGGGGGGGGGGGGGGGGGGGGGGGGGGGGGGGGGGGGGGGGGGGGGGGGGGGGGGGGGGGGGGGGGGGGGGGGGGGGGGGGGGGGGGGGGGGGGGGGGGGGGGGGGGGGGGGGGGGGGGGGGGGGGGGGGGGGGGGGGGGGGGGGGGGGGGGGGGTTTTTGGGGGGGGGGGGGGGGGGGGGGGGGGGGGGGGGGGGGGGGGGGGGGGGGGGGGGGGGGGGGGGGGGGGGGGGGGGGGGGGGGGGGGGGGGGGGGGGGGGGGGGGGGGGGGGGGGGGGGGGGGGGGGGGGGGGGGGGGGGGGGGGGGGGGGGGGGGGGGGGGGGGGGGGGGGGGGGGGGGGGGGGGGGGGGGGGGGGGGGGGGGGGGGGGGGGGGGGGGGGGGGGGGGGGGGGGGGGGGGGGGGGGGGGGGGGGGGGGGGGGGGGGGGGGGGGGGGGGGGAGGGGGGGGGGGGGGGGGGGGGGGGGGGGGGGGGGGGGGGGGGGGGGGGGGGGGGGGGGGGGGGGGGGGGGGGGGGGGGGGGGGGGGGGGGGGGGGGGGGGGGGGGGGGGGGGGGGGGGGGGGGGGGGGGGGGGGGGGGGGGGGGGGGGGTGGGGGGGGGGGGGGGGGGGGGGGGGGGGGGGGGGGGGGGGGGGGGGGGGGGGGGGGGGGGGGGGGGGGGGGGGGGGGGGGGGGGGGGGGGGGGGGGGGGGGGGGGGGGGGGGGGGGGGGGGGGGGGGGGGGGGGGGGGGGGGGGGGGGGGGGGGGGGGGGGGGGGGGGGGGGGGGGGGGGGGGGGGGGGGGGGGGGGGGGGGGGGGGGGGGGGGGGGGGGGGGGGGGGGGGGGGGGGGGGGGGGGGGGGGGGGGGGGGGGGGGGGGGGGGGGGGGGGGGGGGGGGGGGGGGGGGGGGGGGGGGGGGGGGGGGGGGGGGGGGGGGGGGGGGGGGGGGGGGGGGGGGGGGGGGGGGGGGGGGGGGGGGGGGGGGGGGGGGGGGGGGGGGGGGGGGGGGGGGGGGGGGGGGGGGGGGGGGGGGGGGGGGGGGGGGGGGGGGGGGGGGGGGGGGGGGGGGGGGGGGGGGGGGGGGGGGGGGGGGGGGGGGGGGGGGGGGGGGGGGGGGGGGGGGGGGGGGGGGGGGGGGGGGGGGGGGGGGGGGGGGGGGGGGGGGGGGGGGGGGGGGGGGGGGGGGGGGGGGGGGGGGGGGGGGGGGGGGGGGGGGGGGGGGGGGGGGGGGGGGGGGGGGGGGGGGGGGGGGGGGGGGGGGGGGGGGGGGGGGGGGGGGGGGGGGGGGGGGGGGGGGGGGGGGGGGGGGGGGGGGGGGGGGGGGGGGGGGGGGGGGGGGGGGGGGGGGGGGGGGGGGGGGGGGGGGGGGGGGGGGGGGGGGGGGGGGGGGGGGGGGGGGGGGGGGGGGGGGGGGGGGGGGGGGGGGGGGGGGGGGGGGGGGGGGGGGGGGGGGGGGGGGGGGGGGGGGGGGGGGGGGGGGGGGGGGGGGGGGGGGGGGGGGGGGGGGGGGGGGGGGGGGGGGGGGGGGGGGGGGGGGGGGGGGGGGGGGGGGGGGGGGGGGGGGGGGGGGGCTCCTCCCAACTGCAGACGGGACAATTAATTTGGCTGCGCCAGTAATATTATTCCGTGGGAATGTTTCACTAAAACGTGACTCGATTATGGATCTATTTTGCTTCAGTCGGTTGTAGAAGTTGCAGAGTTCCACTTTCCTCTCTTTTTCCATACAAAGTAGATCTCATATTTGCTGGGAAGCCTCTTGTGTCAGTTCAGATGATCCATAGATGTCCTACACTCACAGGCCACTTTATTAGGTCCTCCTGTTCAATTGCTTGGTAACACAAATGGCTAAGTAGCCAATCACATGGCAGCAACTCAATGCATTTAGGCATCTAGACGTGGGTGAAGACAACTTTCTGAAGTTCAAACCGAGCATCAGAATGGGGAAGGGAATTTAAATTACTTTGAACGTGGCATGGTTGTTGGTGCCAGACGGGCCGGTCTGAGTTTTTTTTTCACAAACTGCTGATCTCCTGGGATTTATCCCACACAACCATCTCTGGGAGTTACAGAGAATGTGGGACGTTGTTCCGAAAAAAACAGAAAAATATCCAGTGAGTGGCAGTTGTGTGGGGAATGGGAAATGCCGTGTTGAGGTCAGAGGAGAATGGGCAGACTGGTTCCAGATGATAGAAAGGCAACAGGAACTCCAATAACCCCTCGTTACACCCAAGGTATGCAGAATACCATCTCTGAACTCACAACATGTCCAACCTTGAAGCAGATGGGCTACAGCAGCAGAAGACCACACCGGGTGCCACTTCTGTCAGCTAAGAACAGGAAACGGAGGCTACAATTCACACAGGATCACCAAAATTGGACAATAGAAGATTAAAAAAAATGTTGCCTGGTGTGATTAGTCTCAATTTCCCCAGAGATGGTTTGTGTGGGAAAATCCCAGAAGATCAGCAAGTTTTTGAAATACTCAGACCGGCCCGTCTGGCACCAACAACCATGTCACGTTCAAAGTCACTTACATCCCCTTTCTTCCCCATTCTGATGCTCAGTTTTGAACTTCTGAAAGTCGTCTTCACCACGTCTAGATGCCTAAATACATTGAGTTGCTGCCCTGTGATTGGTTGATTAGGAATTTGTGTTACCGAGCCATTGTACAGGTGAACCTAATAAAGTGGCCTGTGAGTGGGTACCATTGTATGTATTCCTTCGTCCTGTGTATATATGTCCCCTTGGTATGTCTCTGTCTATGTATGTGCCTGTGTCTGTACACGGATGATCTAATGTGGAGTTCAGGTGATCCATAGATCTCTTATACACCATATTGCCCCAAGTATTGGGCCGCCGGCCTTTCCACGCACATGACCTGTAATGGCCTCCCAGTCTTAGTCCATAGGGTTCAATATTGAGTTGGCCCCGCCCTTTCCAAACACATGACCTTTAATGGCCCCCCAGTCTTAGTCCATAGGGGTTCAATATTGAGTTGGCCCCGCCCTTTCCACGCACATGACCTTTAATGGCCCCCCAGTCTTAGTCCGTAGGGTTCAATATTGAGTTGGCCCCACCCTTTCCACACACATGACCTTTCATGGCCTCCCAGTCTTAGTCCGTAGGGTTCAATATTGAGTTGGCCCCCGCCCTTTCCACGCACATGACCTTTAATGGCCCCCCAGTCTTAGTCCGTAGGGTTCAATATTGAGTTGCCCCGCCCTTTGCAGCTATAACAGCTTCAACTCTGGAAAGGGGAAGGCCGTTCACAAGGTTTAGGAGGGGTGTCTATGGGAAGGTTGGACCATTCTTCCAGAAGCACATTTGTCAGGTCAGGCACTGATGTCGGGGGAGGAGGCCTGGCTCACAGTCTCCGCTCTAATTCATCCCAAAGGTGTTCTATGGGGTTGAGGTCAGGACTCTGTGCAGGACAGTCAAGTTCCTCCCACCCCAAACTGGCTCCTCCATGTCTTTATGGACCTTGCTTTGTGCACTGGTGGGCAGTCATGTTGGAACAGGAAGGGGCCATCCCCAAACTCTTCCCACAAAGTTGGGGCATGAAATTGTCCAAAATGTCGCCTTAAGAGTTCCCTTCACTGGAACTTAGGTGGCCAAGCTCAACCCCTGAGAAACACCCCCACACCATAATCCCTCCTCCACCAAACTTTACACTTGGCACAATGCAGTCAGGCAAGTACCGTTCTCCTGGCAGCCACCAAACCCAGACATGTCCATCGGATTGCCAGACAGAGAAGCGTGATTCGTCACTCCAGAGAACACGTCTCCATTGCTCTAGAGTCCAGTGGCGGCGTGCTTTACACCACGGCATCCGACGCTTTGCATTGCACTTGGTGATGGAAGGCTTGGATGCAGCTGCTCGGCCATGGAAACCCATTCCATGAAGCTCTCTACGCACTGTTGTTGGGCTCATCTGAAGGCCACACCAAGTTTGGAGGTCTTTAGCTATTGACTCTGCAGACAGTTGGTGACTTCTGCGCACTGTGCGCTTCAGCATGCGCTGACCCCCGCCCTGTCATGTGACATGGCCTACCACTTGGTGGCTGAGTGGCTGTTGTTCCCAGTTGCTTCCACTTTGTTATAATCCCACTAACAGTTGAGCGTGGAATATTTAGTAGCCAGGAAATGTCACGGATGGACTTATTGCCCAGGTGGCCACCTATCACGGGACCACGCTTGGAGTCACTGAGCTCCTGAGAGCGACCCATTCTTTCACCAATTTTTGTAGAAGCCGTCTGCATGCCTAGGGGCTTGATTGTATACACCTGTGTCCATGGAGGGGATTGGAACACCTGAATCACATGATATGGAGGGGATTGGGACACCTGAATCGCATGATATGGAGGGGATTGGAGCACCTGAATCACATGATATGGAGGGGATTGGAACACCTGAATCACATGATATGGAGGGGATTGGAGCACCTGAATCACATGATATGGAGGGGATTGGAACACCTGAATCACATGATTTGGAGGGGATTGGAACACCTGAATCACATGATTTGGAGGGGATTGGAACACCTGAATCACATGATATGGAGGGGATTGGAACACCTGAATCACATGATATGGAGGGGATTGGAGCACCTGAATCACATGATATGGAGGGGATTGAACACCTGAATCATATGATATGGAGGGGATTGGAACACCTGAATCACATGATTTGGAGGGGATTGGAACACCTGAATCACATGATATGGAGGGGATTGGAACACCTGAATCACATGATTTGGAGGGGGATTGGAACACCTGAATCACATGATTTGGAGGGTGGGGACAGTACTTTGGGCGATATTGTGTATCTTTGGATGATAATCTACTTGAGAGTTTTCAGTCCTCGAGGAGGATTTGGTCTTTTTCTCCATCATTTCCCCATTCTCAGCTTTTTCTAGAATGTAGGACACAGATGGAGCTCATTCTGTCTCAGCTTTTGCCCGCCATGTCATTGAGCACATAAATCTGGGCCATCGGTCCTCGTATATCACATGTCAGGACTTGTATCTGTATGGCAGGAGGCCATTTTCCTTCCAGTCTCCTGTCTTGCTGGTTGTGGGCTCCATCTGTTGGCCTTTGCGGAGGTTCAGAGGAGGACTCTTCCTAGAATTGTAATTTTAGCTCTGTGGGTGCGATTTACATATCTCTGTAATCACGAAGTCATCATGTGTAGAGGTTCAGGGCCACAGACCCATCATCTTTCCATCCTTCCGGAATCTTTTCCCAATCAGTGGATTGGCTGTGATCACCGCATTCATTTTCTGGATAGATGATTACCCGAGTATTTGTTCCTCTCGGCTGCGACTCGTATTGAAAGGGAACTTCCATCACTTTACTTCCCGATCTCCAATTCCTACAGAGGAGCAGATCGTGTCACCTGAGATACTTTGGATTTGGTTCCCTCTGGCAGAACATACATGTAATAGACCCTCCACGGGGCAGATTTATAAAGCAGTGAATGTGACATTGACCACGGGTGAATCTTCCAAGTCGATGTGTTTTCTAGGCAATGGAACATTTGAAAGGACTTCTAGCCATTGGACGTTTTCATGGCGCGCCCCATGACCCAACAAATGCCGATTCTTCTGGTTGGTTGTAGAATTGTGCAGATGTCTCCGGTTGTGGAACGTCTTCCTCTGAACACGGCAATATCTTTAATAAGCGTGTTTGGTTGTGTTTTGTCTTAAACGTGTGCATTGGAGGATGTAATCCCTGTTAGACAATTTACTGGGAGCCTCCGAGGAATGCAGATCCCGCTGACTCCCAACACATTGTGTGAAATCTCGCCTCCAGCCAGACCCGGCACTAATCTCTGAATGAAGAAAATATTTCTCCTAATTCGCTGGGACAGGAGAGGCCTGGGGAGGCCAGGGGAGACCCAAAGAGGACAGGGGAGGCCTGGAGAGAGCCAAAGAGGACGGGGGGGAGGCCAGGAGAGGAAAAGGGAGGACAGGACAGCCAAAGAGGATAGGGAAGGCCTGGAGAGGAAAGGGGAGGACAGGACAGCCAAAGAGGATAGGGAAGGCCTGGAGAAAGAGGAGAGGGGAGGCCAGGAGAGGAAAGGGGAGGACAGGACAGCCAAAGAGGATAGGGAAGGCCTGGAGAGAGCCAAAGAGGACAAGAGAGTCCTGGAGAGGAAGGGGAGGATAGGAGAGCCAAAGAGGACATGGGAGGCCTGGAGAGAGCCAAAGAGGAGATGGAAGGCCTGGAGAGTGCCATAGAGGACAAGAGAGTCCTGGAAAGCCAAAGGGTAGGATAGGAGAGCCAAAGAGGAGGCCTGGAGAGAGCCAAAGAGGAGAGGGAAGGCCTGGAGAGAGCCAAAGAGGACAAGAGAGTCCTGGAGAGGAAAGGGGAGGACAGGAGAGCCAAAGAGGATAGGGAAGGCCTGGAGAGGAAACGGGAGGACAGGAGAGCCAAAGAGGATAGGGAAGGCCTGGAGAGAACCAAAGAGGACAGGAGAGGCCTGGAGAGAGGAAAGGGGAGGACAGGACAGCCAAAGAGAACAGGGGGGGGGCCTGGAGAGGAAAGGGGAGGACTGAGAGCCAAAGAGGACAGGGGAGGCCAGGAGAGTCTAGGGGCGGACAGAAGGGACCTAGAGAGGACAGAGAGAACAGGGGAGGACAGGAGAGGAGAGGATAGGACTGGGGGGGAGAACAGGAGAGGCCCAGGACAGGAGAAGACAGGGGAGGACAGGGGTAGCCTAGAGAGAACCTGAGATCACAGGGAAGGACAAGATAGGACAGGGGAGGAGAGGAGTGTGCCCAGGGACAGGAGAAGACAAGGGAGGACAGCCTGGAGAGGACCGAGATCACAGGGAAGGACAGGATAGGGGTGGAGAGCAGTGTGGCGGACAGGAAAGGCCTGGAGAAGACAGGGGAGGAGGGGTAGTCTGGAAAGGAGCGGAGATCAGGCAGGGAAGGACAGGATAGGACAGGGGAGGAGAGAAGGAGTGGCGGACAGGAGAGGCCTGGAGAAGACAGGGAGAGACAAGATAGGAGAGGGGAGGGAGTCTGGAGAGCCCGGGACAGGAGAAGACAAGGGAGGACAGGAGTAGCCCTGGAGAGACAGGGGGAGATACACTGGAGAGGACAGGGGAGGAGAGGACAGTGGCGGACAGGAGAGGTCTGGAGAAGACAGGAGAGGACAGGATGGGACAGGGGAGGACAGGGGTAGTATGGAGAAGACCGGAGATCAAGGGAAGGACAGGGGAGGAGAGGACAGTGGTGGACAGGAGAGGTCTGGAGAAGGCAGGAGAGGACAGGATGGGACAGGGGAGGAGAGGACAGTGGCGGACAGGAGAGGCCTGGAGAAGACAGGGGAGGACAGGTAGCCTGGAGAGGACAGGAGAGGATGGGGGTAGTCTGGAGTGGACGGAGATCACTGGAGAAGGAGGAGAGGACAGTGGGGCAGGGACAGGAGAGGCCTGGAGAAGACAGGGGAGGACAGGTAGCCTGGAGAGAGGACAGTGGCGGACAGGAGAGGCCTGGAGAAGACAGGATAGGACAGGGAAGGACAGGGGAGGACAGGGGTAGTCTGGAGAGGACCGGAGATCACAGGGAAGGACAGGGGAGGAGAGGACAGTGGTGGACAGGAGAGGTCTGGAGAAGGCAGGAGAGGACAGGATGGGACAGGGGAGGAGAGGACAGTGGTGGACAGGAGAGGTCTGGAGAAGGCAGGAGAGGACAGGATGGGACAGGGGAAGAGAGGACAGTGGCGGACAGGAGAGGCCTGGAGAAGACAGGGGAGGACAGGTAGCCTGGAGAGGACCGGAGATCACAGGATAGGACAGTGGTGGACAGGAGAGGCCTGGAGAAGACAGGAGAGGACAGGATAGGACAGGGGAGGACAGGGGGGTAGTCTGGAGAGGACCGGAGATCACAGGGAAGGACGGGGAGGAGAGGACAGTGGTGGACATTAGAGGTCTGGAGAAGGCAGGAGAGGACAGGATGGGACATGGGAGGAGAGGACAGTGGCGGACAGGAGAGGCCTGGAGAACACTGAAGAGCCCAGAATCCCAGGGGGCGGTACTAGCTGAATCATCGTTTAATACCAGCTGAAGTCGGTTGGAGTCATTTGTTCTCCATCAATAGTTTTCCCTTCAGGACGATCGGTTGAAGTGGTTTGGCCTGTGACGGTTTGATGTATTAAAGTAAAGGCGAAGCGGCAGTCAGCGCGCCGAGCTCCCAGACCGCAGCCGTGCCTGTTGATGCTGATACATCTTGATTGACAAGCGGCGATTCTCGGAGTGAAGAGGAAGGACATTCGGCTGCTGGGCTCGGCTCTAGAAAAGGCATTTGTTTTTCTTCTTCATTACCGCTCGGCACTCTGGAGCGTGAACATTGAAATCGTCTGAGAAGAAATCATCTCCCAGGAAATCGGAGCTCGCTGCTGTATGTATTGTTCATCGATCGTGAATATCGACGCCCCAGGGTGTGATATATAGATATTATTTTATGAGGCGAAGACGTGGCGGCGGGGAGTAACAATGCATGGGGGGGGGCGGGGAGCTGATTATAATTGTGTGATCAGTGGCTCAGTGGTTAGCACTTCTACCTGTCAGCACCGGGGTCTTTGGTTCAAATCCCAACCAGGACACCATCTGCATGGAGTTTGTGTGGGTTTCCTCTGGGTACTCCGGCTTTCTCCTGCACTCCATTGGGAACAGGGGCGGACTGACCATTTGGAAACTCGGCACTGCCCGAGGGCCCGGGGTCAGTAGTAGGGGGCCCCATGAGATGCCCCTGGTACCTTTTTCATAGGCTTTTTGAGTTTGGGCAAGGACACAGGGGCCCCATGAACCCCTATTGCCCGGGGGCCCCATAAGTTGTCAGTCCGCCCCTGATTGGGAAGATTATTGTCTGCTGGTATTTGTGGGTGAGAGTTGGGGACATTAATCTGTTCCTGATGAACCCGATTGGCAGCCCCTCCCCCTTCTCCCTGACATCCCTCCATTGAAGGAGAACTGTTGGCCATCAGAATACAATTCCCAGCCGGAAGATTGTAAGCTCCTCGGAGGCGGGACCGATGTGAACGAATGTTGGCGCCATACATAAACGGGATCCCATGATGACTCCCAACGAGAGGATTCCATTCCCAATATATTCACAGCAGAACGTCGGAAGATGATACTTGGAACATCAGAGATCTGAGAAGGGGGCGGAGCCAAATACAATGAGACTTCTGTAAGAGGGAGGCCGGCGCTGAGAATGCCGCAATTGTCGGATATATTCCCAGCGGGGGATGGTGCGTCTGACCTCCTGATAGACGTTTGCGGGGAGCGATGGTTCCCATTGGTGGAAGACTTCACGGATGACGTAGCAATCGGTCCCCAGTGAAGGCGCCCCCTCCCCCTCCTCCTCCTGCCGCCTTTTCCCTGATATAAGGAAATCCGCGTGGCATTTGTTAGCGTCTCATTAAAGTGCGCGGGATATCCGGGCTGCCATATTAAGCTGCAGGATGGCGGGAGGAGATGAAAGGCGGGAGGAGAATATATCTCCTAATTAAGTGGAAGAATCGTTCTACCTGGATGGGATCGGCGGGTTCTGCCTGGAATCAGCGGCTCTCTGAAGCACTTCATTGTGCCGGGGTGAGAGATTTGCCGTTTAATGTTGGTTTCCAAGTGACAATTTCCGCGGCAGGAAGTTCATTAACAGGCTCATTAGTGCGATCTGATTCACTCATTGGGAACTTGGGACAGCAGCTGGAAGCGCCTAATGCATATGTTAATGGCGCTAATGTGCCGCCATTTGGAGGAAGGACGCTGACATATCGCCAACTGGCGCGGTAAACAGGCGCACACCCCGCCACCCGCGTATTT